GCTCAGAAGACTCTCTGCATGCAGAAAGCCACAGCTTGAGTCCCAAAACTACATCATCCTCCCAAGTACTGCCAGGAGCAACCCCCAAGCATGGAGCTGGGAGTAGCCCCTGAGTACCACTGGGTATGGTTCCTGAAAAAATAATACCCAGAAGAGGTCAGGGAGACAATAAAGAGTTAGTTAAGGGCTTTCCTTGCACATGACTGACTCCAGTAGGATCCCTGACACTGTGTATGGTTCCCTGAGCACCGCCAGGAATAATCCCAGTGAACAGAGCCAGGAGTAAGCTCTGAGCACAGATGGGCATGGCCCCAAAGCCAAGACAAAACACAACAACCAAAAGGGGGAAAAAGTACAGGACTAGAAGATAGTGCAAAAGACTGGTGCAGGGGGCTGGAGCAATAGCACAGCAGGTAGGGCATTTGCCTTACATGCAGCCGACCTGGGTTCAATTCCCAGCACCCCATATGGTCCCCTGATCATCGCCACAGGTAATTCCTGAGTGCAGAGCCAGGAGTAATCCCTGTGCCTATGCATCTCCGGGTGTGACCCAAAAAGCCAAAAAGAAAAAAGACTGGTGCATATTCTTGACATGCAGTAGCTTCAATCCCTAATACTACCCGGTATCCCAAGCACCAAGCCAGGAGTGACCACAAACACCACAAAAATTTGCCACCCCCATTCATAAAAGAAGACTTTTTGTGCCTACTTCAGATGGAATCCCGGTGACCAAGAGCTTCCACAAGCAAGGTCCAGGATTGCAGGTTCTAGGACTGAATCTCTAGGCCACATGGTAGCAGAGGATCCGGGCTGTCCCTCCCCGGTCCCTGCTCACCCAACAGACTGGCTGTCACACCCACAATTTGCCTCCAGGTGCCATCTTAGTGCACCAACAGCCAAGGCCCAGAGACTCCCAACTGAATCCCAAAATGGATTAGTGCCATACAGAGATGTCTCTGGAACCCAACCATTTGCAATCTAGAAATTTATATTTACAATTGTGGCTGTGTGAGCTCTCATGATATTCAAAATGAGTAATGGAAAATAAATTATCTAGCATCTGCCCCTGGCAAGTAGGCTTGAATGGTGGTGGGAAATTTCGAGCAAAACATTGCTCGAGCGGGCCCAGTAACGTCTCCATTGGAGACTTTGTTGTTACTGTGTCTGGCATATCGAATACTCTCGGTAGCTTGCCGGGCTCTCCGAGAGGGGCGGAGGAATCGAACTCGGGTCGGCCATGTTGGCCGCTTGTAAGGCGAACGCCCTACCACTGTGCTATCGTAATGCCCAAAATTAGAAAATTGGGGAAATTGTCTGCCATAGAGGCAGGGTAAGGACTGGGATGTGGGTGGTGGAAAATGTGCACTGGTGGAAAGATAGATGTTTCATCATTATATGACTGAATCTCAAACATGAAAGCTTTGTAGCTCTATCTCATGGTGATACAATTAAAAAAGAAAAAAGTAGTGTGGAGTTCATGCCCAATTCAACCAGCTTAATCAATGGCTGAACAAATAGCAGTACTCCTACATTATTAAAAAAGAAAAGAAAAGAAAAGAAAAGAAAAGAAAAGTCATTTTGCACTATCCCCCTGAAGTGACCTACACTTTGCAAATCAAAGACCAGCACCAGGTTAATAAAGCCTCTAGAGGGCGTCCTTCTTCCTCCCCCTTCCTTTTCCCTTCCATCCTCCTTCCCACAAGAGATGCAAAGCCTGCTAGGTCCTGCTGACTGCACACGTTTAGGTACTCCACCCCTCCCAACTGCATTTAAACCATTTCTGGAGGACTAGGGAGATACTGCAAAGAGTTGGAGCATGTGCTTTGCATGGTAAGTTCCAGATCTGCTCCCTGTGGGAGGGCCGCCTCAAGCACCATGTTGGGAATAATTCCCAAGCATGGCCAGGGGGTGACCCCAAAACAAATGAATGTATTTCTGTATATGAATTTCTGTAAGCATAAACCCTAGACAGAACAACCCTAGCATACAGTCACCTTCCAGTTCTCTGGGGCCAACAGAGGATGGAGCTGAGACAGACAGCTCTGTGCCCTGGGCCAGGGGCTTGGGCCTTGCTGTGGGAAAACAGGTGGTCCGTGCAGACATAGGGGAGACTCTGGTCTCCACAGAGGTGGGTTCCAGATATCCCTGGAAACCTGACTGTGAGCCCTCGAGGAGCTTGCTACTATCCTGCTCTCCTGGGTAGGCCATATTCCCTCACTGAGGAAGAGGAGACCAGGAAAGAGACGGGGAGGACCCTTGGCAGAGATGGAGACCAAGAGAAGGTGGAGAGAAGCAGCAGAAAGGCATGGAGAGGGGAGTGTAAAGAAAAACCTCAGCGCCAGAGATGCGGGAGAGAGCAAGACTTAAAGGGAAAAGGCAAACTGTGGGAAAGAGGACACACAGAGGGAGAGCAGAGACAGCACAGAGCAAATGGCTGGCCTGAGAGAGACGGTCCAGCAGGCAGAGTCCTTGCCTGACACATAGCTAACCCAGGTTTGATTCCCAACACCCCATAGGGTCCCCGGAGCACTGTCAGGAGTGATCCCGGAAAGTCAGGAGTAAGCCCTGAGAACAGCTGGGCGTGTTCCCTGACAGCAAACAAACAACAACAAAAATGGCTGGCAAGGCGAAGGCTGGGGGGTGGCTGGGGAGGTGTGAGCCGGCCTCACCCTGTCGTCAGCGCCCTTGCTCCCACAATTTCCCAGCCAGGATCCCATTTCCGCCTCCGGGTGGGGCTCCCTTATTTCTGGGTGCCTCCTCAGGCCCAGATGGTGAGCCTGGACAGGGTGGGGAGCCCTGGATGACCAGCTCACAGTGATTAAGCCTGAGGTGACGCCCACAGGCCCTCCCTGGGCGCCATCCTTGCCCACTTGGGACGATCTGGTGCCTTTCAAGGTCTGAGGGGCAGCTCAAGAGGGGCCGGGGGCTCCGAGGCAGTCCTGGGGGGTTTCATAGCGAGGATTGAGTCCTGGAGGACAGGGGCTACAGAGAGAAGAAATCCGGGACAACCCCCACCCCCAGGGAAGTTTTGGACCCTCAGAAAGGAACAACTTCCAATGTAGAGCACTGTGTCCTGAGTCCACAGAGCTGTGCAGGGGACCTGTTACCGCACTTTCCCAGGGTTCCACCTGCCCAAAGAAGTGACTGTTCCTGGAAGAGCCATCTGCAGAAGTTCTGGATCCACCTGTAGCCCCACATTACTGTTCTCAGAGGTCTGGCAGACAGAGAGATGGAAAAAACAGAGAACAGCCAAACAGGAGCAAAACAGATAGTACAGCTGGTAACTGAGCACCATATAGGGTCCCCTGAGCACCAGCAGGAATGATCCCTGAGCACCACTGGGTATAGCCCAATTTCCACCGTCCCCCACCACACAAACAGATACACACAGACACACAGACACACAGACACACACACACACACACACATACACACACGAACTGTCTAATATTAGTATTAATCCTGGTCAAAAATGTGTATGGGTAGTGGGTAGGGTATTTGCCTTGCATGCAGCCGATCCGGGTTCAATTCCCAGCATCCCATATGAGCACCGCCAGGAGTAATTCCTGAATACAGAGCCAGGAGTAACCCCTGAGCATCACCGGATGTGACCCAAAAGGAAAAAAATAATGTGTGTGGGTATGGCAGTGCCAATGCTTTCCATTTATATATATGTGTGTGTGTATATATATATATAATTTTTTTACAACAAAATACTCTAGGAGAGCATAGTGGCTCGACAGAAACACTCCTAAATGGACGGTATCAGGCTATTGGGCTCAGAATCCTGCTCCAGGAGAATTTCTCATTTCTCTTCCAGGTGCTGGAGAGATCAATGTTTAGCCCAGACTATGACAGATTGCAGGTGAGTGCATGCACGGGGCGGGGGCCACACCACACCCCTCGGCTGATTACTCATGGTGCCCACCCAAAGCTGCTGGCCCTTCGCTTGGCCATCCTGTCTCAAGTTTATTCTGCCCCTCCTGAGATCTGGGCCTTGACCCTGAGTGGACCCCACCCTGCCACCTGTAACCCTGGGGGGAGGGGCAGGATAAGATGTTCCCAGCCCTGCTTCACACCTGATGCTGTTTGCTCAGGAGGTGAGGTTCACACGATAAAGAGCAGAGGGGCAGCTCAGGGCTTCTATAAAAGAGCTGCAGGTCTCTGGGGGGTTAGCTCGCTCGCAGCTCAAACTTCCAGGTGAGGGTGGCAGCACGCCTGGATGAGAATCCGGGGTGCTCAGGGGTTGGGGAGCCTGGTGTCAGTTTGCTGGGTCTTTTGGATCTGAGTTAGTGTTGGGGGTTCTATGGTTCTCAGCTGAAGGAGAGGGCACTCCTGGGAAGCTCGGGAGACAGATATGGCCAGACCTGCGTCAGCAGAGAAAAGCTAGATACCTGGGATCTAGTGACTTGAGCTGTTCCCAGTTCTTCCTTCCTTCCATCTCGTTTCCCTCTGTCCAACTTCACCGGTTCCACTTCCAGACCAGGGCTAGCAGTCTCTTCTGTCCTCACCTCTGCTACCTAGGGGGCTTGAGACACCCTCTAAAATACTTCTGTCCTGACGAGGCCAGGGGGATGCGAGGGAGTTAAACAATGTCCCGGGGCCCAACAAAGCAGGCCACCGGCTCCTGGGCTGACTTCAGTTAGATTCTGCTCAGACTCCTGGTTGACTCCTCCTACTCAAACTCAGTCATCTCTATGACTTGAGGATGTTCCCTGCTTCTTCAAAACGCCTGTCTTTCCTTGTTCTAGGAGGGGATAGGGTTGGCGCAGCTTAAATATTGACCTTGGGACTTGCCCTGAAGAGGGGCGGCGGAGGGGTTCTGAAGATAGGATTTGGGCTGGGTGTCTCTAGACCGTCCTTCCATGGCCAAGACCCGGTTAGCTAGGCCTGAGAGTCAAGAAGAAACCTGGGTCACAACTGGCAATCAAGTCTGTCATGGGAAACGGTGGCGAGGGGGAAAAGGCAAATCCTGACTCTCTTCTCCCACCCCCTGCAGGATGCTGAGCATCGCTCTTCTTGCCCTTCTCTGCGCCTCGGCCTCGGCCAACGCCAGTAAGTGAGAAGTGGGAACCCAGATCTGAACGCGGGAAGCCTCTGGCTGGTGGAGGCTTTGAGAAGCTGCTGGAGGGGGGTGCTGGAGTCGCCCCCGAAATAGGGCTGATGGGGAGAAGTTGAGCCCTCCAAGTGCCCTCTTTCCCTCCCAGTCCAGGCCAGGACCTCCTCCTACAACGGTGAGTACGGTGGCGGCGGCGGAGAGCGATTCTCTCACTCCGGAAACCAGCTCGACGGCCCCATCACTGCCATCCGTGTCCGTGTCAACAAGTACTACATTGTGGGGTAAGAGGCTTTGTTTAGTAGGTTCGGGGACCTGCAGGGCCCTCCCTGAGCTGAGAAGGTCTGTCACTTTGGGCCCCCTCTGTCTCCCTCCGTTAGTACTGAGTGAAGCAGAAAGGCTATCAGGAGCTGGGAGTCTGGAGTCTCTAACCCGTACAACCATCAGCACATATGGGTACAGGAGTGTGTGCACGCACACACACACTCACACACGCACACACATGCTCACATACACACACATGCACACACGCACACATGCACATACGCACACACGCGCGCACACACGAGCACTGCTTCATGCCTGCCCCAGAATGACGCACCTGGGACCCTCTTCCCCTGCAGGGGCCTTAGGGCTGGAAAATTCTTCTGCTTCTTTCAAGTAGGAGGGGCACAGGGGAAGCCAGCGGGCAGAGCAGCTCCACACTCACTTTCGGGGTATCTGTGAGCCTGTTTGTCAGACGGCGGGGGGTGGGGGGGGGGAGATAAGGATGAGGCCCCCGGACCTGCTCCCAGCGCGAAGGGCTGAGTGAGGGCCGGGGGGGTGACTCAGGCCTGAATCCCGGTCACTTGCTCGCCCACCCGTAGGATCCAGATCCGCTATGGCAAGGTGTGGAGCGAGTACGTGGGCGGCAAGCAGGGTGACCTGGAGGAGATCTTCCTGCACCCCGGCGAGTCCGTGATCCAGGTGTCCGGCAAGTACAAGTACTACCTGAGGAAGCTGGTCTTCGTGACCGACAAGGGCCGCTACCTGCCCTTCGGAAAGGACACCGGCACCAGCTTCAACGCTGTCCCTCTGCACCCCAACACCGTGCTGCGCTTCATCAGCGGCCGCTCTGGCTCCCTCATCAATGCCATCGGCCTGCACTGGGACGTGTACCCCAGCGACTGCAGCAGCTGCTGAGCTGCCCTTCCCGCCACTGCCCATGCGCCTGGCTCAATAAAAGGACGTGGCTAACGCTGGTGGACGCGTGTGTCTGTGTGCGCGCGCGTGTGCGCAGCTGGGCTCTGCCTCTGGACGGATGCTTGCGCCTGTTTGTATGCCGACAACACGGGGCAGAGGGGAAGCCTGAGGGAGCGAGGTATCAAGCTCTTTAGGAATAACCGAGAGGAGTAAAACGGCGGCCTGCACCCACTCTGTTTCCCAGGATAGGTCCTGGGAACGTTGATCCCAACTGGAGTTCTGAGGCCCACCTGCTGTCTGTGAGTCTTTGGAGACTTCCGATGCGCCTTATGCAGTATTATCTCCCCACCCGCTTACCAGAAGCCCTGGGACCTTTGCTTAACCTTCTCAGAGCAGGGTTCTCCCCACAGTGGTGGCCTCTGAACAGTTTCTGCTCTGCCAATGTCACCTCAAAGAAAGGTGGGGGGAGGCTGGGAGATAGCTCAAAGGACTAGTCTGCAGGCTTTGCAGGTGAGGGGCCTAAGTTGCAATCCCAGCACCACCAGGACTGACCCGGTGAGCACTGGGCCAGGGCTAGCCTCTGGGCACTGTAAGATGTGCCCCGCCCCGCCCCCCAAAAGGCATGGGGAGAAAGAGATGGCTCAAAGGGGTGGAGCATATGCTTTGCATGCTCATGACCCCAAGTTCAGTCCCCAGTGCGTACATGGCCCTGCCCCCGAACCACCTGTCTGACCCACTTCACTGGGTATGAGCATTGGACCATCAGGCCCACACTACTGGGCCTAGTACTGCAGGTGAGGCTCCCCCCAAAAACGGACCTTTGGAGGATAGATTTCTGTGGTGGATGTCCATGGACATAAATGGGTTGGGCAGAGTTTAGGGATGCATGGATCAGGGTGAGAGTACCAAGGTATAAAGTTGCATAAGAAATCATGGGGACAGAAATAAAAAAACCAGAAATCATGGGTGAGGGCGGCAGAGAGATGATACAGTGGGTAGGGCACTTGCCTTGCTTGTGGCCGACTTGGTTTCAATCCCCAGCACAGCATTTGACCCCCTGGAACCCCCTATGGTCCCCCTTAACCCCACTGGGAGTGATCCCTAACTACAGAGCCAGGAGTCGATACCGAGTAGCACTGAATGTGGCCCCATGAAAGAGAAAAAGTTCATTTTGGGGGGCCTGAGACATAGTGTAAGAGATAAGGCATTTCCCTTGCATGAGGCCAACCCAGGTTTAATCCTCACACAGCATCTAGTCCCAGAGCCCTGCCAGGGTGATCCTTAAGCGCAGGAGTAAGTCCTGAACACTGGCAGGTATGGCCCAAAGGGGGGGAAAAATTCTTTTTTGTTTGTTTGTTTTAGTTTTGGGGCCATATCCAATAGTGCTCAAGGGCTACTCCCACTTCAGTGCCCAGGGGTCACTCCTGGCAGTGCTTGGGGACCAGGGGGTGCTGGAGATTGAATCTGTGCCTCCTACACGCAAAGATTTGAGCTATGTCTCCAGTCCCTTGGAAATAATTCTTAGGATTCTGGTTCCCAGTCCCCATATTTTGTTTGTTTGGTTTTTTGGTTGGTTTTTTTTCTCCTTTTGTAGATAAATTTTTGTTTACGATTTTATTATTGAATCACTATGAGATAGACCCTTACAAAGCTGTTCATAATTTGGTTCCAGTCATACAGTGTTCCAACACCCATCCCTCCACCAGTGTACATTTCCCACCACCAGTGTCCCCAGGTTCCCTCTCTTCACTTCTCCCCCTCCCCAGGTCAGTCCCCACATTTTGACACTGTGGGCAGGGGGGACACTTGTTGCTCCCCTCAGATTGTTCGCTGATGGCAGATACCAGCCACAGGTTTTCCCAGCCAGCCACGGGCAACAGTCAGGATGAGGGAACATTACCATCAAAGGCACCAACTGATGCCCAGGTCATATTATATTTTCCCTCTCAAACAACCAGTTTCATGAATTCGAGTATTATATTATCATAATGACTTATTTTTTGTTTTTGCTTTTTTTTTTTTTAGTGAGGTAAGGGGCACACCAGGCTATGCTCAGGGCTCACTCCTGGCTCTGGGCTCAGGAATCACTCCTGGCAGGCTCGAGAAACCATATGAGATGTCCAGTATCAAACCCAGGTTGACTGCAAACAAGACAAGCTCCCTACCCGCTTCATTATTTCTCCGGCCCCATATGAAGATACTTTTAGAGCTAGAAATCATATAATTTAAGGCTCGCCCTTTTAAAGTGTGCAAATCAGTGGGCTGTGATTAGTAAATTCACAAGATTGTGCAAAGAACATCACTCTCAAGTTCCAGAATATTTTCATCACTTCCAAAAGAAACCCACTGGGGCCCCTGGAGTAGTTCGGTGGCTTAACCTTGTAAGTGGAAGAATCTGCACATTAGGTCTCTGGTGCCAGGCCTGTGCCAGCATGGTGCTGATATCTGTGACCCGGAAGTAATTTCTAGCTGCACCAACTCCAGGCGTGTACATGCACAGCAACTACAGGGGCGCTCACTCCTGTCCAGCACCGTGCAAGCACCACAGCCAGCCCATGTGAGGATAACAACAGACTATGCAGGAGCACTATGATGAGTGGAAGGTGAGGACCAGGTCAGGAGCATGTGTGCGACCTACCTCGCCCTCCTAACAGCAATGAAAGGAAAGAAAGGGAGAAAAGCAAATGAACCCCACAAGCACCCATTCCCCAGGATCCCCCCACCCCGGTCCCTGGAAACCCCTTTATTTGTCTCTGGATTCTGAATTTACCTGTGCTCCTAAGATTCATATAGTGAAATTACCAAGTAGTCTGCCCACTGCACCTGACTTTTTTCACAGAACACGTTTTCAAGGTTTGCCAGCTTGGAACATGTGTCAGTGCTTCTTCTATTCTTTTTGTTTGTTTGTTTTGATTTGGGGGTCACACCCAGCAGTGCACAGGGGATACTCCTGGCTCTGCATTCAGGAATTATTCCTGGCGGTTCTAGGGGGACCATATGGGATGCTGGGGATCGAACTCAGGATGGCCGCGGGCAAGGCAAACGCCCTCCCCGCTGTGTTATCGCTCCAACCCCCCCTTTGTCTATTCTTAATGACTAAATCCAACAGACTTTTGATGTACCAAATAGCTGATAAAGTCTTTATGAAAGATTTTAAACCATGATGTTCCATAAAGTACTTAGAAGCAATAATAGGCAATATACACCGTGATCTTGGTTTCAGTTTTATCTTAGGTACACAAGGGAAACAAAACACAAATAAACAAATGAGATTGCATCAAACTTGAAACCTCTTGTGCAGTTAAAGAAACTATCATTTAAAAGGAGATAGAGGGGTTGGAGCGATAGCACAGTGGGGAGGGAGTTTTTGCCTTGCAAGTGGCTGACCTAGATTCGATTCCTGGCATCCTATATGGTGCCCCTGAGCACTGCCAGGAGTAATTCCTGAGCAGAACCAGGAGCACTGGTTAACCTTAAGCCCTTAACCCCTGAGCACTGCTAGGTGTGACCCAAAAAAGCCAAAAAAAAAATGGAAAAGGATATAATAGTACAGAGTACAAACAGGGGTAAGGTGCTCACATTGCCCACAGCTGACCAGGTACGATCCCCCACATCCTATAATGGTCCCCATAGCACTGTCAGGAGTGATGCTTGAGCACAGAACCAGGAGTAAGCATCATCATGAGTGACCCCAAAACAATAACAATGACAAAGCCAGAAACAACCAGTGGTGGTGCAGATGTGGTAGGACTGTCACCTGATTTATCCTCTATGGAATACAGGACAGAGGCATTCTTCAAAGGTTAAAATAGATCTACTGTGTAATCAAGCAATTCTACTCTTTAGTGTCTATCTGACAGATATAAAAACCCTAATCAGAAAAGATATATGCATTCCTATGTTCACTGAAGTGTTATTTACAACAGCAAAGACACTGAAATACTCCAAAGTAAATAAAGAAAATGCATATATATACATATATGCATACATATATGTATATATACGTGTGTGTGTGTGCGCACGCGCACGCACAAGGGAATACTACTCCGCTATAAGAAAAGTTGAAATCAGGAGCTAGAGGTGCCAGTGGGTGAGGCGCTTGCCTTCTGTGCGGCCAAACCAGGATCAATCCCTGGTCCTCTAAGCACCACCAGAAGTGAATGCTGAGTGCAGAGCCAGGAATAACCCCTGAGCATAGCCAGGTGTGGCCCTCCCCGGCCAAAATAAAAAAGTGAAATCTTGCCCTTTCTAACAGGGAAGGAATTAATAGCAAGTAAAGCATCAGAAGGAAAAAGGCAAATACAGCATGATCTCATCTCTATGAGGTTAAAAGACAACAAAGCCCGGGAAGAGAAAAGCCCAACCAAGACAAACCTGTGGGTTCTGACCATGGAAGTCAGTCAGAGGGGAGGAGGCTTGGAAGAGTGAGACTTGCCGACGGGATACAGGCCCTCTGCGGGTCTGTGTGTGTCTCCTACATTTAAGGAAGTGTACAGTGGTACTTGTATAACAATGTCACCTCAATAAAAAAAAGTAATGAAAATCAAATTTAGGGGCCAGAGCAGCGGTACTCTGGATAGGGTGCTTACCTTGCACACAGCAGACCCAGGTTCAATCCCAGGCACAGAGCCCTGAGCATAGGAGGTCTAAGTGATAGGATTCCAGAATTTTGTCCACAAATTTTACAAATTTTACTTAAAATTTAAATGTTCATGGGGCTGAAGAGAGTGCTCAGTGCTTTCCACGTGAGGCTGCATTCCCCCTTTGCCACCACTGGGCCCCCGCACCACCAGGAACAATTTCTGAGAAGATCCAGGAGTAGCCCATGAGCAACCCCAGACCTGGCTCCCAAGCCACCTCTCCCACCCAATATTTTTCTTTACCTAAAAAATAAAGTTTAGTGGCTGCCAGGGCTGGAGAGATAGCACAGCGGGTAGGGCGTTTGCCTTGCACGCGGCTGACCCGGGTTCCACTCCCAGCATCCCCTATGGTCCCCTGAGCACCGCCAGGAGGAATTCCTGAGCGCAGAGCCAGGAGTAACCCTTGTG